TAAAGAAAGGATGTTTGGGGCCCAGCGTGGCAGCCTAGCGACTAATTCCTAGCCTTGAATGCACCAGGGTCCCATATGGGTGCCGGTTCTAATTCTGGCAGCCTTGCTTCCCATCCAGCTCCCTGCCTGTGGCCCAGGAAAGCAGGAGAGGACGGCCCAAAGCCTTGGGACCCTGCACCTGCGTGGGAGAGCCGAAGAAGCTCCTGGCTTTGGATTGGTTCAGCTCTGGTCATTGTGGCTGCTTGGGAAGTAAATCAATGGACAGATTTGTCTCTCTCTTTGTCTCTCTCTCTCTATATATATATATATAATTTTGCAATAAAAATGAATAAATCTTTTTTTAAAAGAAAGGATGTTTGAGTAACAATTTAAACAATAAACTTTTATATTATTACTATCATTATTATCAGACATTTTTTGCAAAAGATTGATTGATCTGAGTGACACACATGTGGAGTACTGCCCCCAGGTCACTGGGAAGTTCCTAAAGAAAACAGTGCTTCAGCCCCTAAGCTTCATCCGGAAATGTAAATTTCCTATCTGGGAAATCTTATTGCACCATGGGAGAAATTCACCCTAATTATGATGGCACTACAGTTACAAGCATGTCTCTTTGTGGGTTTGCTCTGAAGCTTAGTAATCAGCTTGTGGCTTGTTATGTGTCCGCTGTTTTCTTGTAGTGTGTTCAGTTAAACCTAATTTTGCACATTCTCTTGCTCTGGTAAATTATGAGGCAAGAGGGAGATACTGGGAGATTGGGGAGGGGCGAGACAGAGGGACAAAGAGGGAGAGAATACATGTACAGAAAGAAGAAAGACCTCTTCCACCTGCTACTTCACTCCTTGAGTGTCAGGCGGAAGCCAGCAATCTGAAACTCCATCCTTTCCAAGGCTGCATTAGTAGTCAGCAGGGGGCTGGATTTGAGTGGAGCTGCTGGGACTCCAACTAGTACCCTGATAGGGACTCAAAACAGCATTTTTATATGAGGTGCCTGCCAGGCAGGCAGCTGCTTAATCCACTGTGCCACAACATTGGTCCCTAAAGTTTCATTACTTAAAATAAGTATTGTGTGAGAGAGATTATATTTGATTCCATTTGTGCATGAATAGGACAAGGAGGAAGATCTGGAATTAAACTGGGAGATGCATAGAAAATTTTATGCATCTTTTAAAATTTTATGCAACTTTTGTCACACACACACACACACATGAATATATGTATCCACAAGGATCTAGTGGATGCCAAAAGTAGCTAGGAGTTCTGAAGAACTAATTAAGCTTTTACTTATACATGCTGACGCAGCCTTTAGCTTTGGTTTCCTTAATCTGGAGAAAGACAAAGACCAGGTTTTCTGCTTTCAAGTTTACCACAGTGACTTTCGTGTAGCAGATCCTCAACAGAGGTAGTGTGAGGTTCTGCTTTTAGAAATTGTGTTGTTAAAAATCACATCACGCCATTCTCTGTGACTTGGCTCAGGAAGAAACTCTTCCAAATGCTCAGTACTTAGGGAATTTTGATTGTCTCCGTAGCCACCTTTTTCTCCAAAGGGTGAGAAAATAACTATTTTAGACTTTTTGCTTATAACTCCTCCTGCTGCTGTATTGCAGCCCAGGAGCAGCCATGGGCACGAGTAGTTGCCAATCCAGTTTGATTGACTAAAGCATGCCAAAAGCTGCATTGGGCCCCAGGGCGGTAGCTTTTGGATTCCTGCCCTAGCTGCTCCGAACAGTGCCATTTGTACTGAGCGACGGCCACTTCACTTTGTTCTCAGAATAATTTTCTCCTGAAGGTCTGAAGGCCTTGCACATTTGCGGAGGTCTGAGCATCTGGAGGGCATGAATGGGATTCCTCAGACCACTACAACTCTCAGTGTGAGCACCTTCTCTCCAGCAGGTGGACTGCGTCATTCCACAGTCTCAGCGAGAGGGTTGGGCGTTGGTGAAGGACAGTTGGCGTTGTTTGCTATCATTTATACAGAACACCTGTGTTTGGTTGTTTGCTTAATTTGATCTCTAGGGAAGGCGGGAGAGCAGGAACTGCTGGCTTTCTGCCCAGTAGCCACCATTTAGAATCAAGGAATCTCCCTTCTCAACTTGCAAGGCTTGGGAACAGGATCTTCAGGACAAGGCTAGAAAGCTGGGAACTGCACATCACCAAGCTAGACTACGCCATGGCTCTCTCCTGTGTCTCGGGCCCATGGGTTTGTGTGATGCTGTCAGGCTTTTTATCAATTACACACACCTGCCCTGAAAGTGAATCCTCCCTCTTCTACACCTCATGCCCGAAATGTATCTTGCTCTGACTTGGTTATAACTCCTGTTAAGAATTCCAATTAAGTGCTTAGGAATGGATCTAATGCATTATTTCTTCATTATAACTCGTTGCTGGGCTATGTCAATAACCTATTTCCTTAGCAGCCAAATTAGAACAAACTGTACAAATATGTTAATTATTACCTTTAACTATTAGTCTACAGATAGAGGGGAGAAATATAAACTCAACAGAGCTATTTTTCCTTTGCAAATGCTCTTGAATATGTGTAAATTAACTTTTAGGAGCTTTGAAATTAAAATATATGAGCACCTCATTTATATACCAAACCTTGGAATTCCTGGACCCAGTGTTAACATGAGATCTGAGTGGGCCATCTCATTTCCAAAAGGAAAGAAAAACTCCTTGTGAAAAGAAATTCTGTTCTGGTCTATGATGTCACAAGGTCCACTGGATGCACCCCCCCCCATCAGGAAATGACTCAGAGCCTGTAATTTAAACTTTATTTCATATCTATTGTTAAATTACACACAAAAAAATCAGTGAATGGTTTGTAAAGCTACATCATTGGACAGAAGTTTACAGTTGAAATCATGGGATTTACATGATGATGACAAAGATGTGTATTTAGATCATCCCCTATATACAGTACTCAGCACAGACACAGAAAATGTACTGCACCTCTGCAAACCATGCACACCACAGCAGTAGCACAAAATGGTTTTTCTGCAACAAGCTCTTCCACCGGCTTGGGCTTCACCCTGCTTTCCAGCACTATCTGTCAGTTTGACGAACAAGCACCTTCAGTTAAAACTCAAACAGAATTGAAATACCAAAGTACTCGACAGCATAGTTTAAAGCCACAGTGTACACAAAATAGTTTCACTCTAAAACACTTTGACATCAAGGCATATTTTTTCAAAAAAAAAAAAAAAAAAAGAATTTCCTTGCAGGTTTTTAGATTGCAAAATTCTCAGGACTGTGATACCGTTGGCCAAAACAAAAGGTGGAAGTCATAATCCAAGCTCAGAGTCAAGAAAACACATTTTAAATTCAAATATTTCTTGTCTAGCTTGTGGCCCTATTATTACAGATGAAACTAGATCATGCATATGAGAAGATGGGACAAGGTGTGACATTACGGTCACACGTCCAAGCCTGCTCTTGCTGAAAATAGAAATGCCACCGCAATCACCTTGTTTGATTGATAGCCAAGTCCTCACAAAAATGTAGCAAAACACATAAAAATAGAAATTGCCGGAATCAGACACGTGCTTGACGGCACAGTGGGTTACATACCTCTTTCTACATTGGTCAATTTGTAATCCATACCATGAAAGTGGTCTTTTTGCACAGACTTAAATGAGTAAATCACTCTTCTTAACTCACGTTCCTGATACTTCATGTTGGGATATATTTTACTATCGTTCTTTCTTAAACAAAAATTTGGTAAATGAATTACCTGAAGTATCAAGGAGGAGTTTTTGGAGACCTCTGGCTACCCTAATGTCCATTCTACTACTTATCATCCTTTGATTTGTAATTCTCTATAAAACATGTCAACGTAAAAAACTAAATGGTTGGAAATAGCAAGTCCAACCAGAAACATTACGATAAAGATGTACAAAAAGTAAAGAACAGTTCACATTCAGGTTCAATCATATCTGATTTTAAGAATAAATTCAGCAATATCTTTAGACACATTATCCAGTTGAAGAGTTTCTTGATAAGGACCCTACTACACAAACATTGATAAGACAAGTTTCTAGAAAGAAAGTCCTGACTTTAAATGCAGGATTATTATATACCACAATAAATTCAGCAACACACCATTTAGATGATGAAGATTCTATACACGAGTATGTTTGGAATGAGCCCAACTGGGAGAAGCCTTAAAATGAATGAGAAGCAGCGCCAAAAACATTCCAGAACCATCAAGATGACAGTGCCCTAGAAGCATCTGGAAAGTAGCTCTTTACAATTGGTATTCTATTTGGAAACAAAAGTGTTTTGTTTGATGAGATACACCCTGTTTAAAACCTTTAAACTGTAGAAGGTAGAAAAAGTCTAAAATTTCAAATGTCTCTTAAGTTACAAGTTAGGATTCCTGTTCTTGAAAAGCCAGAATTTTCATATAAAACTACCCATAATAGGGAAAAGAATTTTTCATTTTCTACATATTTTGGTGAAATTTATCATCAGCTGTTATCCTACTTAAATGGCTTCCTTGTGAAAATCGGAACAAAATGAGTGGTTTTGTATTTCACTGCAGTCACTTGGTTTATACTTATGCATATCCTTGGGGGGAAAGAATTTGCTTCTAAGATTGGGTTTTAACAAGTGTATCATGAATCATTTAAAATCCATTTCTTAGCCATAAGTTACATGGTCATGTTTGATGCTTTCATTTTGTCTCTGTAACTAATTTAAGAACTTCTCTAAGTATCTAAACAGCAATTTCTGGTGAATTTGGTTTGACTTTTGGGTCTCATAAACAGTCCAATTAAAACAAATTAATTACACACTGAGATCTGTTCCACCCGTGCACAGTGTAACACTGAATTGAAAGGCAACTGTAATGGCAACAGCTAAACTACTGTTTCGTTTCTGTGTTTCCTTCTTCCCAAGTTAAGTAAGCAGGGTGTGTGTGGACTCTTTCACCTCCTGGCATATGCCTTCCTCTTTGAGTGGCGCTTTGGGGTAAGTGTGCCCAAGCCTCTCTGACCCCACTAACGCCATTTCTCTACACTTCCTATGTAGTCGTTGGTGCCGTTGCTGGAGCTGCCACTGTCGTTCTGGCCCTGCCCTGCTGTCTGCCTCGGGCTGTCCCGGGCCTCCTTCTGCCTCGAGCTGTCCCGGGCCTCCTTCTGCCTCGAGCTCTGAGTCACATTCTGCATCAGAGTGTGCATCAGACTCTGGCTGCCATTCACATTCGCATACCGACTCACGTTCTGACTTGGAGTCTGGCTCTGCCCCTGATTGTGGCTCTGAAAATGGGTCTGAAGGAACCTTCCCTTCAGGAATTTGCGCTGCTCCTGACGCTTCCGCCTGGCCTCCTGATGCTCTTTCTGCCTCATGAACTGATACCTTTGCAGAAAGAGATCTTTGGCATAGCTGTACAATTCCATATCCAGAAAATTCAGTCCCTCGATACGCTTTTGGATTTCCTCATTGATCTCTACGCTAGACGCCCTAGTGGTATTATACTGGGTAAACGGCGAGATAAAGTTCATGTTGAAGGTCTTCTCAAACAGATACTGGGTCTTCCGCTGAAACTCCGTGAGGCCAAAAAACGCCATGTGCTTCAGATTTGTTTTGGCACTTTCCAGAAGGACCTTGTTTCTTTGCTTTTCGGGCATGACAGAGAGGTTGTAGCAGCCGACAAGAGTCAAATCGGAGAGCATGCGCACTTGGCGGTTGTTGGCAAGATTATAAGGACAGTCCATGAATTCCTTGAGAGGACAGCCAGACCAGTCGTCACCAGTGTAGCAGCTGGGCAGCTCTTCCGACGTCGGGGGCCTCCCGTCGCACACGTGCAGGGACGCTTTCCAGGTCGCACCTCTCTGGACATGCCTCCACTCACTCAGGTACCGGGACACCGGGTCTCGGAGGATGGTGATGTAGTGGAAGTTCCTACAGACAACACACAAAGAGCAAAGATCAGAGATGTGCGGGACAGAAGCTGAGTACTGGAGGGACATGGCACGGTGTGCTGTTCACTAGGCAGTATGAAAGGGGAGAGACGGGGGAGGGACAAGGGCCGACACTCAGGTTCCAATGGCATGTGTGCTGGGCACTCTGCTGCAGCCCCCCTGTGTGAATCCCATCAGCCGAGCCCAATAGCTACTTCTTTCACTCAATTTGCAGCTGAAGCAGGTACAAGATGGTTACACTCAAGACCTCAGCCTCTTTGTTCAGCGCTCCCCCTTCCCTTCTACTCCTCCCTCGCCCACGTTTGCCTAATCTCTCCACTGACATATTGACTAGGTAGGTGAAACCCCATTCTCTGATCATGAAATGGACACTCAATGGGAGCAATGATTTATGAAGATGAAATGGAGCTGATAAGTGAGCTCAAACTCTTATCTTTTTCATTGAATATGCACGAAGTATTTTTCCAATATCCAGATGAACCTGAAAGTCTTATTAAAAAAGAACACCCTCAATTGAGAATGTTTGATATGAGACTTGACTTTGGCTGTTATCATAGCATCAAGGCCCGATAGGTTATGGACGTGGAATGTAAAGATAGGCAGAACAACCTGGGCCTCTAGAAATAAACATTGTGGTTAATCACTGCCTGAAATAGAAAGGGTAGCTGCCAGCAGCACCTGTGCAAGCTCCTACCTTGGGTTCATCCCTAGCTCACATAATAATAATCCCAGGATAAAAGATTTAACTCTATCAGTTCCCAAATGGCCCTTTGCATTGCCCACTGACAGGTCACGTGACTGCCAGTAAGTGCAGAGGCTCTGCAGTATGGTTCTGTTCTTTGGCGCTGCAAATAGATCATGCGGCTGGCTTACCCAGCAGACCAGCAAACATTTAAGCCACATGCGACACACTCACGTCCATGTCCAGCAGGTGCACACACTTATGTCCCCAAAACATCAATGTCCCAATGACGTGCAGGTGCAGAGCCATGGAAAGAAACAACCTGTGATGGTGCTGTGCCCAAGAAGTCAGCTTCTAATCAGGCAAAGTGGGTGAGGGACAGGCGCATGGAAAGATACGCCGTGGAAGCAAAATCACAAATCTGGACTATTTCATTTCTTAGAGGACACTCAGGGAATGGCTTAAAACTCTTTGAGAAATATTCTTGTTTCCCTCTGCAAGAATGGTGGTTCTGAACAGAAATGTGCCCAGTCCCTGGCTGACTGGTGTCCTCTGAGGACCATGTCTCCTGGCTCTTCAGGTTCCAGCAAGCCAGGCCTCCTGAGAGCTTTCCTCTGCCTCTCTATTCTGCGCATGGCAGGACCTTCCTTCTTAGCTGGAAAATTTTTTACCCAGCCTTCAAGTCCAAGTTCCATTTTACCACACACTCCTAGCTGACAGTCACCACTTCTTCCTCTGGACTACCATGGTACTTGCACTCTGTTTGGGCTCAAACACTATAAAATATTTACTTATTTATAATTCAATGAGAGAGAGAAAAAGAGAGAGAGAGAGACAGACAGAGTTCTTCCATCTGCTCGTTCACTCCTCAGATGGCTGCAATGACCAGGGTTACATCAGGTGGAAGGCAGACTCCAGGAGTTTTCTCGGGGTCTCCCATGTAAGTATTGGGGCCTAAAAACTTGGGCCAGCCTCTGCTGCTTCCCTCAGGCCACCGACAGAGCGCAACCGGGACATGAACTGGCTCCCATATGGAAAAATCAGTGTTTCAGGCAAAGGCCCTATCTGGCTGGCATGCCACAATACAGTCCTTGTTAAAAACATCTTGATATTAAATTACAATTGCTTGTTTGTATTTCCATTTAATCTGTGTTTGCCAGGATAGGAACTTGGCCCTATTCTCTGTAACCTTCTTCGCATCCCTTCCAGCACGTTTGTTGGATTTGATACTTGGCACAGAGCTGAATCTCAGTAACTCTTTCAAAGCAACCTATGTAAAGAACTGTTTCAGGGTGAGGGTGGACAGAGCTGAGGACAGGGAAAGGCACCTCCCAAGCACCTTGCAAAAATTCATGGGAAAATTTTAAACATTCATCTTTTTAAAAATCCACTTTATATGTTTTCTAGAATAAACAAACAGTGGACACAAGGAAAGCATCTAGGGGGTGAGTGTGGAGATGGGGGCCTACAGAGCCTTAATTTATCTCAATATTTTTCCCAGGACCGTCTGACCTTGGCTGGTGCCACTAAAAAAAAAAAAATCAAGTCTGTAAAGACACACTGCTAAACTTCGGTTCCCCAGTAACCCTTACTGACCAAGGTTACTGCTATGCCCATGGGCTGTCTCCTCCTACTCCTAGTTGTATCCATTCATTCATTCATTTAGTACATATTATGGAGCCTTTATGCTATGCCTGAGGCAACAGTTCAGAGGCAATTAATCAGATGATTTGTAGGGGAAAAAGTGCATGAAGTGCAGTGACACATTTGAGTTAACCTTTCAACCAGGTTTTCCGGGCATGCATTGTAATGGGGGCCGCTGGGCATTTTTAAACTCCATAATGAAGTCACCTTCATGCTTAGCTGACAATTCTCCAGCCCCAATCTTTTGTACTGGTGTAAGCCTCCAGCGCCATCTGCTGGTAGAGTTTAGAGTTCACCACAGTACCCCGCAGAGGCTCTCCTTAAAAGTTCCTTCTGGTCTTTCAGCTCAAGGAGACCCTAAGCATCATCAGGCTAATATGAGAACTGAGGCTTGGTAAGTACGATTCCGAACCTGCAGAGAGGCCAGAGAACACAGAGAAACGGACACAGGCATCCAGAGGCTCTTCTGTTACAGATGCCTGTGTCCAGCACACCTACTTCGTGAAGGTTGCCTAGTGGCTGGCTGGAGTAAGGACCGTCCAGTACTGGCAGCCTCAGTCTTGCTAGTCTTGATGAGTTCTATAGGAAAGAAATCAGACATACACGCACATGTGCGCATGCATGCATGAACTGCCTTGGTGCTAAAAAGCTACCTGGACTCAGATGACAGTAACTGGAGATTCAGTATCAACAGTTTCGTTCTTCCAAGGAAAACAGTCTCAGGGCCCAAACTAGTCCAACTAGAAGCACCTGATATTTGAAAATACAAACTAGGGGGTGAAAAATTAAGATCTGTTGTAGGGTAAATGCCCAGTGTTCACTGGGCCGCAGAACTGAGAAGGGAGGTAACCTATGGCGATTTTGTTGCATAAAGGATCCAGGATGCGTAACCAACACCGTGGCATAATGAGTTGAGCTGCTATCTGCAGTGCCAACATTCAACATGGATGCCAGTTCAAGTCCTGGCTCTTCTAGTTCTGACAGAACTTCTTGCTAATAGCCTAGGAAAGCAACGGAGGATAGCTCAGGTCCTTTGGCCCTTATCACTTGCTTGGAAGACCCAGAAAAAGCTCCTGGATTCTGGCTTCAGCCTGGCCCCAGTTCTGGTTACTATGGCCTTTTGGGGAGTGAATTATCAGATAGAAGATCTCTCTGTCTCTCCTTCTCTCTCTGTAACTCTTTCAAATAAACAGATAAACAAAGCTTGTAAAAAATTAATCCTGATGCTCATTATTCTGATGGAAGACCTTTGTATAAAAGCTGAAACAGGTGCAGCATGGAAGGGTCAGCACGAACAAAGCGACACAGGTAAAAATCAGCATATTGTACGGCAGGAAAATGTGTTCATCTCATGGGAAAGACATGACTTTGAATGTTCTCACCACAAGGTAGTGATACACCTTTGAGCAGATGGATTTGATTGTTACATAATGTATACTTTTGGTGAGTCATTGCACTGTAGTCCATAAAGATGTATAATGTTACATAGAAGTTAAAAATAAAAATTAATTTTAAAACAAATTGTATATCAGGCCCAGCACAATAGCTCAATTGGCTGATCCCCCCTTTCAAGTACAGGGATCCCTTATGGGCACCAGTTTGCAGGCTGGCTGCTCCACTTCCCACATAGCACTCAGAGAGCCGCTGGGGCTTAAGACAATGATATGTGGCTGTCAGCTAAAAGGATTACTTCGTTGCTAGCACATCCACGGGGATGTGATTTCAGGATCACGTGGGTACACTCAGATATTTGAAGACAGTATTTACGTACCCAGAATTTTGTCTTCGTTGAGTTAAATATGGTGTTCAATTATGCTATATGCTGCTTCAAGGCCCCCTGCATGGTCCTATTGCTGCCTCTGAACTTGTCCCACTTCATCAGTTATGGCGTTTCTTCCAGGCATGGTCTGACAAGTGACCGGAAGGGACAATCTATCACCTGCCTCATTCTTCATGTGGTCTCAGATCACATGGCTCTTCATGGCAGTCATGCCTAACCACCCACCCGCAGTAAGCAAAACTGTTTCCATTTTCCACATACATGCCAATGTGACACCCACTCCGCATTGTCTTGGGCTGATGTAACTGATGTGCAACTCTCTTTAGTTTCTTCTTGTTACAGTAAGCCTAAGCCCACCAGGATGCATGCGCCTTCTGATGAGACACCCCTATGTCCTCACCATGTTTTGGTGTTCCTATTGCAAGGCCTCTATCCAGGCATTGGTCAAAAGAGAACAAGATGCAGATGAGTGTAGGCCTGTGGTAGTTTCTGGGGATCTCCCTTTGAGCTGAGATAAATCTAACAGGTGCTGCAAAATGCGCAGATTTCATTTGAAACAAGAGAAATAAGCTCAGGGCCCTGAGGCATGGCCTAGCGACTGAAGTCCTCATCGGGATCCCATAGGGGCGCTGGTTCTAATCCCAGCAGCTCCACTTCCCACACAGCTCCCTGCTTGTGGCCTGGGAAAGCAGTTGAGGACGGCCCAAAGCCTTGGGACCCTGCACCCGTGTGGGAGATCTGAAAGAGCTCCTGGCTCCTGGCTTCAGATTGGCGCAGCACTGGCCGTTGCGCTCACTTGGGGAGTGAATCATCAGACAGAAGATCTTTCTCTCTGTCTCTCCTCCCCTCTGTATATCTGACTTCCCAATAAAAA